GTGTGTGTGTGTGTGTGTGTGTGTGTGTGTGTGTGTGTGTGTGTGTGCCGTGTCACTCCTTGGGCATCATTAACCTTTTAATTTTTTTTGAGACAGGGTCTCTCGGTGAGCTGGAACTGGAGTATGCCGAACTGGTTGGTGGCCCCTAGAGGACCCATCTGTCTCCGCATGCCCAGCATTGATATAATAAGCACAGGCTGCCACACCATACAACTTTGTTTTTTTGGTTTTGTTTTTAATTTGAGTTCTGGGGATTACACTCAGGTCCTTGTGTTCCCATGGCGGGCATTTTACAGAGTGAGCCGTGAGCCCTTTTCCCGGCCCCAGAATTCACTTTTGGAAGCCCAGTTTGTGTTGCAGGACCCCGATCCTGGTGGTGTCTCGTGAAGCCATGTATGACTGCCAGGGAGGCTCATGGGTGTTTTCAGGGTCTGTGCTGGGTTTGTGGCTGGCACAAGAGTGAGGCGTGTTTGGGCTTTGCCTCATTCCTGCGGTGGCCTTTTGCATTTGGGGTCATGTTGGGAGAAGTCCTGCCCTTCGCAAACACCCCAGGAGCGAGCACTTGGCTCACCACACCCCCAGCCCCACGCCCCACCCCGTTCAGATGTGCAGACTCTCCTGGAAGACAAAACCCAGAGTCCTGAATCCGCCTGGCTCTGGAACAAATCTCAGGAGAGAGTGACTTGATTTTCAAACTTTAGCTATCTTTGTCATTTTTTTGCCAGGCCTGATCTTTTTACAAATGTGCTTTTAATTAAGTGCTGCTTTGCTTATCATTCTCCCACCCTCTTGGGTTTCCAGCCTCTGAGCCCCTCCTCAGCCTCCCTCAGCTTCTTTCCTCAGCACGGAGGCTCCTGGAGCTTTGGGGACTCCTGGGGGAAGGGCAGTCCTCAGATTGCCTCCCTTGGCTTCCCAGCTGCTTCTCCAAAGATCAAGTTCCGAGGAATGGGGAGCACATGGTCGCCCTAGGTCGTGAGGACAGCCTTCCTGCCCTGCACATATTTTTGATATGATGAAAGGCTGGCAGGATCAGTCCTGCCTGGACAGAGAGTTTGGAATGATGCCTCCTGGATGCAGAGTGGTCCGCACAGAAGGCCACGTTCCATTCCAAAGGACACAGCTAAGGACGGTTTGGGTCATGGAGAAAGGCTACCGTTCCAGAGAGCTGAGAACAGGGTGTCTCAGCTCTAAAGTTAAAAAGAAAGGAGCAGAAACGCCAGCAGAAACCCAAAGGGAGGTGACGGAGAGTGCAGTTGTGTAACAAGCCACCTGATTTATGAAAAGTCCTGCAAAAACAACCACAGAAATGGATGGTGACAGGTGTGTCCTCACCATACTGAGCTGGGCCACATTTCTTTATTAAAAGAAAAACTCCAGCATTTTTTTTAAGGAGAGCCGGTTTAAGGACAATTGCTTATAATAAAATACCCAAATGTCCTTTCTAAGCCAGTCTTGGGTGAGGCCCGACCTTGGCTTTTCTGCAGATGGAAGGATTGGGCATTATGATGGGCGATAGTTACCCCTTTGGGTAGGTATTGACACTCTGACCACAATCCCACGAGCAAGAGACCCAGGCAGGGTTTGGGAATCCAGCCTGCATGAGCCTCTTACTCACCATGTTCACCTCTAGCATGGGGACTTACAAATGTCTGTCAGTTACAAGGCATCCCTCAGAGATCAATGGAAGCTTTTGTGTTAAGGGACCAGTGAGTCTGCTCACTTACACCCTTGTGCCTGTGGACAGCCCAGTGGTTCAGAACACACTTGGCAGATGGACACCAACGACATAGTTCCGTGTAGAAGGGCTACACTCTTAAATTTATTTATTTGAATGTGTATGTGTGCGTGTGTGTGGGGGGGGGGGGTACACATATATGTGTGTGAGCATGTGTGTGGAAGCCAAAATTCAACCTTGAGTGTCTTTCCTCGGGAGCTGTCTACCTTGGTTTTGTTTGTTTGTTTGTTTGGTGTGTGTTTGTGTGTGTGTGTGTGTGTGTGTGTGTGTGTGTGTGTGTGTGTGTGTGTGTGTGTTGAGGCCATAGGCCAATAAGTCCCATGAAGGGGCCTTACAGGGAGATGAAGTTTACCCCAGGCTAGGACAGGCCTACAGCATTCAGAACCCAGAATGTCCACTCTCGTCCCTCACTATTGACAGACTTTGTGTCCAAGAGCCTGGCCAATGGATAGATGGACCAGTGGGTAGATGTGTGTCATAGACAAGTGGTGACTGGACGATTGTTAAGAGGTTCTGGTGGAAGGACATAGAATGGGGGGTTACTGAAAGGGTTAACTTAGTGCTATAAACGTGAGAACTGATGGAGAGCAAGGGCTGCCAGGAGTTTCCTGTCCCTGACAGTGCCGCAATGATGGGACACTTAGGAAAAGGCTACTGTGTGATAAAATGTTGTAATTTCAGACTGGAGAAGCATTTCTCCACAGCAGACTGAGAAGAAGTCTTGGAGAGAGAGAGAGAGAGATGTGGGAGCCCACAAAAGCTTCTTAGTGAGATCTGAGCTTACTTTACACAGCAGGGCTGCATGAGAGGATGGCTTGACCACGTGCAAGGTCACCAAGTTACCTGGGATGCTCTGCACTTGGCTGTGCTCGGGGGAGGTCTTTTGCTCCACCCCTTGGCGTTCCTTTAAAATCCCTTTAGTAGAGACAGAAGGGGCCGGTGGGTTTTGACCCAGGCTATCCTGTGTTTCTGTCTGTCTGTCTCTCCTCTATATTTCTATGTACATATTCCTCATTTCTCCCTGCTCAAGAGTACCTGGGGGGGGGGAGTTAGGACAGGGAGAGAGAGAGAGAGAGAGAGAGAGAGAGAGAGAGAGAGAGAGAGAG